CCCCCCCCGTCCCCCTGGTCTGCAGACCCTGCTGCCCACGTGTTCCGCCGCTTTGCTTCCTCTCCCTGGTCTGCTGGAGACCAGGGAGAGGAACGGCCCCGTTCGTAACTGCGGATCGGATCCGCGTAACTCGGGGACTGCCTGTATTTAGTTCTAATTTATCCCTAAGTGTCTTCTAAGAGCCCAGTAAGCAATGGAAGGGTTGGTGATGCTGCTAAAGCATAAAAAACACGCTTACACTTATCTACTTATGGTCCTGTGCCAATATAACAAAAATTTTTAACAACACTAACACTTCATTATGAAGAGAGATAAGCCTTGGGTAGGCATATGCTTATATAGGGTCGGGGATGTTAGCAACTAGTCAACAATCCGATAAGCAAATGCTTATCGGATAAAAAAAAAAACCCCCCTTGGCTGCCTCTATCAGAGAGAGGCAGCAAAAGTGGGAGGGAGGGGCGAGGAGCTGGTGCTGGGGGAAACTGGCTTTAAGCATGTTTCCCCTCCCCCCCCAGCACCATCTCAGCAGGGGGCAGGGGAGGCAGAGACACAGCGGGGAAACGGCACAAGCGGGGACTGCTTTAGTTCCTGCTGGTGCCGGTTCCCACTGCCAGCGCTTTAGGGCTCCTGTACATTTCAAAAGCAGAAGTGCCGCAGGGAGCACAGGGTGAGTGGGGATTCAAGCAGTCCCCACTCGCCCTGTGCTCTCTGCGACACTCTCTCCCCTTGTTGCCTCTCAGAGGCAGTGGGAGGGCAGGAGCTGGTTCTGGAGGGAGCCGACTTAAAAGCCGGTTCCCCCCAGCACCATCTCTGAGATACCACCTGCCCCACCCCACTGCCTCTATCAGAGGGGGAGGGAGGAGTGATAGGGGATGCTCTTGGGAAGCAGCCCCTGTCTGCAGAGGTCCCACCAGGGAGGTCCCAACTCCTCCTCCCCCGGCCACAGACAGGGGCTGTTGCCAACAAGCAGTCTCTGCTCACAGCTGCCAGGGATGGCCGCCACGAACACAGGCTACTCCGGCACTATACTGTTTGCGGCAGCCAGGGATGGCCATGCACAGGAGCTACTGAACTCAGTGCGAGCCGGGACTGAGCAGTGCCTCTGCATTTTAAATGTAGTTAAAGCCGGTGCACAGCAGCAATACAGGTGGCTCCGGAGCTGGCTGCTGGAGCTACCTCCACTGCAGCTCAGAACAGCAGCGCTTATCGACTCGTATAGACAATACAAATTGTATCATCTATACGATTAGCCAGATAATCATATTAACATCCTTATATAGGGTGTATCAGTACAATCAAATATTATTAAGCAGCATCGCAAGCATTATTCCATTTATTCGCCTCAGCAAAAATAAAAAAAAATAAAAATAGACCCACTTGCCATAATAAACAGAACTATGCAGCACTTTAAAAACTAACAAGATGGTTTATTAGGTGATGAGCTTTCGTGGGCCAGACCTACTTCCTCAGATCAAATAGTGGAAGGAAATTGTCACAACCACATATACCAAAGGATACAATAAAAAAATGAACACATATGAAAAAAACAAATCAAATTTCAGAACAGAAGGAGGATGGGGGGGGGGAAGCTAATGATATCAGAGGTGATAATTGGGGAAGCTATCTTTGTAATGGGTAAGATAATTAATGTCTTTGTTTAAGCTTAGGTGTAAAGTGTCAAATTTAAGCATGAATGACAGTTCAGAGGATTCTCTTTCAAGTGTAGTCTTAAAAGGTCTTTGAAGCAGGATGCAGGTAATCAAGTCGTTGAGACAATGTCCTTTCTGGTTGAAATGGCAAGAAACTATCTCCTGTGTTTTGGCAAATTCTCTGGTTTGGCATCTGTCAAGTCCGAAAGGTGCTGGACTAGAAAGGTTCAACCTGTATTTCAAAAATGGAGCATGTCTGTTTCAGTATTAACTAAATGTTAAGGTATCGTTAATAAGCCACTCCACAGGGAGAAGGAAAAGAACTTTCTACAATAGCACCAAAAAAATTCTCAGAATAATTTTTGAGCTTAGCTGACATTCTTGAGAATTGTAAACAGAATTGCAAACTGCATTCCTATCAAAACATGCCAACTACCTCAAAACAAGCAAGCAATAATATTATCAAACAGATACTTTGCTAGGTTTTTCATGCTGCATAAACCCAGCAAACATAAGAGATTTTACCATACCAAAAGTACTGGTTGACTCTGGTGATGTTACCCACTTCATTGGCTTCTCAAAGGGTACCAGCGGTTTTGGAAATCTCGATGCTAAACATTTTTAAAAGCAAAAATATGAACAAGTAATTCTCTAATTTCTTATATTATTTAAAACCATTCCAACTAACATGATTTGCCTACCAGGGCTGTTATAACTAATGGAAAGGCCTAATCCTGTAAACAAAACTCCCATTGGCTGCAGCATGATTGTCTTTAATAAGATGTTCTTGTGGCAGCATTATACTCTGAAAATTTCAAGACGTAAATAGAGAACTCAGGTGCTATATAAATTTTAAAAAATGGTCTTCATAAAACCAGATTGGACATAACTGTACTCGTTTGTTGCTGAACATAGGGTAAAAATGGACAACTATACCATTTAGACATTTTCTGAGAAGTTTCAGGCTAATTCTGTTTTAAATTACTATTAAATCCTACCCCACTTTTGGTACTCTAAAATATATCAACCACATCCTAGAGAGCTTCTATATAAGAAGCTCCTGTTTTCACAGTTTATACACATTGAACGTACCTTTGGATCAAGTCCTACACAAAACAAATGCAATGCTAGGTGTGCAATTAATTACAATTTTTCACAGATATTTTAACTTGCTTATATGGTACACAATATATTTATTAGAGATAAACATTTAATCTGGCAAAAATAAGATATGTGTATATTGAGAGTAAGAGAATATTCCTGTAAGAAATTTAAAATGGAGTTTCTCAACCATTTAAATTTGCAATTTTATTGTTGGATTGATATAGGGTCTGTATTTTATTTTAGTTTAGTTTAAAAATTTAGAGGAATAGAGGAATCAAAAACTGCTAAGTTGTGTAGCTCTCTACTGCAATCAATGGTAATTATGCAACTAGAAATTAAGATTCTTCAACACCTTAAAAGTAGTATATGTTTGTTCTTTTTAACTTTGCAGATTAATAGTTTCCAAGCTCTCAGCTCAGAAGGCTCATAACTGAGGTAACCAATAAAAGATCATCTTCTATCTCAGTGGTCCCCAACCTTTAGAGGCTCCCGGGCGCCCGGGAGGTGGGGCCACTCACGTGCCGGGCACCCGGGGGCGGGGCCACGCATCCAGGGGCACGCCAGGGGACTGGGATGCCTTTGCACCCGGCGCCGGCGTGTGCCCTAGGGCCGGGGCCGCCCGAGCGCTTTGTGCCGTGGGCCCGGGGCCGGCACTGCCGCCC